TGCTTGGAGATAGATAGCTCATCTGGACAGAATGCAAAAGAGAGTTCAGAAAATAATCAGAGACCTAGAAAACATGAGATACAGAACTGGATTTGATGAATCTCAAGAGGGGAAGAAAAAAAAAAAAAGGAGAACACAGCAATATTCTTCAAGTATTTAATGAACACCTGCCAATAGAAGGAGACCAGACTGGTGGATGAGAGAAGGAAGAAGCTTGAGTCGTAGCAGAAAATATTTGAAGGAGATTTTCGAAAGATTTCCAGCATTAAGGGCAGTAAACCCCTATTAGCTCCTTGGATGCCACTTTCCTTTCCAAGGTTCAAGATACACATTCCTCCTATCAACTCATTCAGAAACACATTCTTCCTCTTTGTTCCACTATTCATACACTATAGGGGTACATCAATCCTTTGCTATGTTATTTTTTTACTGAAAGCACCTGCTTTAGTGTGACAGATGTAATTACAGGGACAGTTAAAAAAATGCAAACCTTTATGTCCAGTAACTATTCTGAAAAACTTATTTTCCACAGACATCAAGCAGCACTCTCAAACCAAGTCTCAGTAAGCAGTGTACTATACACAGAAGCCTTTTCAAAGGTCGTTTGGAGGTTCTCATCATTTTCCTTAATTCAAGTGAAGATTAGATAAGGTGCAACACAAACAAACTAGCAACCAACTCTCTTAGGTCCATCTCAAGCCTTCAAAGGCTAGTTGACAGCATGCCCTACATATACATCCCTCTTTGGAAGCCTAAGATATTGCTTGTAGTTTGTTTTCTATACATCTGCTTGCACCATGCTCAAGTGCTTGCAAAGAGCAGTACACAAAACCCAAGTACCTATATAACCACATCCAGTTGTTCCGATAGCCAGCTAAGCACATGGAAATGCTACACAAGCGTGCAGCAGTAGGTACCCAAGACTGTAGATACGAGGACATGGAAATGAACTTCAGCTTTGGAAAGGTGGAACTCCTTTGCTTAATAATGCACAAATTGCACAAGGGATTCTTCCTTACATCAGGTTTTCAGATTTTTCTTTACCACCCCAACCACATTGAGTACCTCCAAAAGGAAGAAGGCTTGTCAGTGAGTGCTTATACTTGTCTATTCCGGCTTTGTATGAGGGTGTAAATTCAAGCAGAAATTCAAACAAAATTAATCTGTTTGCTGAAAAAAAATAATAAATCAAAGAAATTGGGAACAGGAAAAAACAGACACTGACACAGGATCACAGCTTTTCAAGGCTAGCTTTCTGTCCACAGCTATTCGATTACTTTGCCTCTCTCCCCCCTCAAAAAAAAAAAAAAAAAAAAAAAAAAAAAAAAAAGGACATGGCAAAGAGCTGATTAAAAAACAAGCTGCAAGTTTACAGTTTACAGCAAGTTATCTGTATAAAGATATAACAGGAGGAAAACTAGAGTCAAACTTTTTTTTTTTTTCCTGCTAGGTATGGAGGCTGGAGGGCAGTATTCAGCAATCCTATCCAATCACCAAGGCACAAAACTTCAAACCAGCTAATATCTGTGTAAAATGGTCACCTAATGAACTCAGAAACTATCTAGAGGCTTTGTGCATAGACCTGAAATCAGCTGTTATGAGAAGAGGAATAGTATTCCACTTTAGCATAAATAAAACATAGATCTGGATTTCTGCTGAATTCTTTGTTCACGCTCCTGTGCAATGATTGTTCCCAAGTACTTTTCTGTTTCCCCAGGAGGTGCAAAAAAGTAGCTTAGCTAAGCCTAATAGCACAGCTTATTTTATAAAAGGATTGTCTCTCTCTCTCAGCTGGAATACTTTATCTCTGGTCTACAAGGAATGAGGGGAGCAGCACTTTAGGGAAATTCTGAGGACAGGTCTGCAACTGCACAGAACGTACAGAGTGCTGATATATCGACTAAAACCCAGACGTAGAGGATGGATGTTTGGTCCTGAGTTCAAAACCAGCCTTAGCAGTTTGCTAACGTGCAGCCAGATGGCATATTCCAGACAGCTGCAGATGAGTGGGCGCAGAACAGATTGAAACCTGGGTTAGTGTGGAGCTGATCTCATGTAAACAACACCTTCTGAAAGGTAGGGGAAAACTCATTCAGATTGGGCTTTTGTAGCCATCAGGGTCACAAAACAGCCCACAAGGGGTATTAAATGACAGAACACATCTGCCACTGTGTAATACATGGACACTTCCTCCCCTCCCAGAGCCCTACATCCCTCTTTAAAGAGCAAGAAGAATACCCCTGCAGACTTCTGGCCTCTTTGGCCAGGAAATATTATACATGTGATCTGCATCTAATTACATATGTCTGTAAGGCTCCAATTTTAGTTGTACCACCATGAACAGGTAAAATAATAATTAACACTTTTGCCAAAGCAGATTTCTGGTTTATTTACACAAGCGCTACAGTTCCAAAAAAAAATCTCGATGCCTGCTCTCTGTCAGAGTGCTGTATTTGGAAATCACGAGTGGGAGTTTAAAATAGGTTCGGCACACAGCTCACACTGTTCCCATCCCTGACATCCATATGTGGTTTGGACAATCTGGAGCTTTCTGTGAAAGGCCCCGCTCTGTGTATTTTTGCAAAATGGAGTTCTATATTTGCTGCTATTAGGCTCTGCAAGTTGTAGCACTTTAAGATGTCACTAACTTGATAAACAATGAGGTTTATTAAACTGTCTGGTGGCTAAATAGACACACGCAGGATCAAATGTTTGCCACACAAGCAATCAAACAAATTGATGAACATCAAGAAAGCGATTATAGAACTATAACTGTTCTATTATTAACCAGCAATCTGCATATCTTCCCCCAATTAATGTCTAGAAAGGAGATGTGAGTTAGTAGAAACCTAATTACTGGCATAACACTTTGTTGATGAGAAGCATGGTAACAGTCACTGCTTCTACTTCATTTACACAAGGCCCATAATAACAAGCCAAAAGATGTCAGTCAGCCACTGCTTTCCTGCCAGAAGTTTCTGCTGTAGCAATAGCTTCTCATGCAAACGCACTCCTCTACCCATGTCACTCAGCTCAGTAATTGCCTTGCCACTCACATAAAGAAAACAATTTCCGGCTCTGATGGGATTTTGTCGGCAATGTGAAACTGCTACTGCAGTCGCAGCAGCTAGGTGTTAGATGGGTTACTTTGGTGGATCATAACACGAAACTAATCTTTAAGGAAGCAGGTGGAAAGAAGAGAGACTTACAGGTTGGTAGGTGCTAGGAAAATGGTCTGTCCAAGTGATTAACACAATGAAAGTGTTAGGCGATGTGAAACTGAGACAAGAAGAAAGTGGAAGCAAACAGAATGAAGTTGCTATTCTACCATCAAGATCATCTCCTAGTTCAGCACGTCTGCCAGAAACTCCTCTAAAATCATAGACACCTATTTTACGTGCCACAGGCAGCTGACCAGCAGTCTATAATTTCAGCTTGCAGGCTTTGTATTTGGGCCTCCCTGTGAGCCATGCACTTAGCACCACCCTTTCTTCATCCCCAGGCTGAAGCTGCAAGATGCAAAGAGTTTTCCTTTCAGCGTGTGACACGCAGCATTTTTCTCACTTCACAACCTCATTCCCAGAATGAGAGCAGCCAGTATGAGACATTTGATTCTGTTTCTTATCTCAGGTCAACCCGGAGTCCTGTGTCAGGTTTTGGTGTGACACCTGAGGGCCCCTCCCAAGCTCCCCATGTACTCCTGCTTCTCTGCATACCCTCAATATGACTTAGTAAAAGGAAATGTGCTAGGAAAGAGATTGCTAGTTCTAGGATGGCAAACAACAGCTAACCTTGTCTGCTTCCTGCCTGCAGCAATAGAAACCAGATTTTATCCCCCTCCCCTATCCTTACATCCCAGGTGGATTCATATCAAACTTTCCATAGACAGGCAGAAGAAAGGTATTTCTCTCTCATGATAATGAAAAACTTAATCAGAAATACGGTTTCTGTGTAGCAAGGTGAGCACAGGGCAAATTGAAAGACTTCTTTTTCATGGGTTACAGAAAAGTGAATATAGAATGTGATCCCATTTCAAGGTTCTTTTGGATTGTGGGCCATAGCAGAAAGAGGGGACTGAGACAAAAAATAAAAGGGAAAATAGTAGCCATCCCACGGTATCAGAAACTGTAGTCTTACAGCTCAAGTCCTACTTGCAGACTTAACGGACAGTTTGAAACAGCCAAGCTGTCCGTGAATAACAGAGCAGCTACACTTCTATGTTTACAAAGGGGCCAGTGCTTGAGCAGAATATTATGGTAAATCATACAAATTATTATAGTTTACAGATTTTGCTACTAGAAAAATAAAGGTCCAGATTACTAGAGCCCAAAATTTGAGGATGCCAGAAACAGCAACACCGAGGATCTGTCAGAGTTACAGAAGGTTTAACGCGCAGGCACTCACACTCCAACAGTGAATCTGTTATAACATCCAACAGGCAAAAAGCACTAAACAATACAATCTATTTCAGTTGCTTCCAATAAAGTTTTGGGTTCATTTAATATCTATTGCTTTAATGTTCCATACTGCTATCCCAAGATTTTTTGACAGCACTGAAATTAACTGTCTTCAATATGCTTTCTATTTCTGAGCCTACTCCTGAGAGACATGAATTATGAAGGTCTTAAATGCACCAAGCTTCTCCTCTTTTCATAGCATCATCTATATCTTAACTATGGCACACACCTTTAGCAAGTAAAAGAATCTTAAGTTATTGGCAAAGAAACAAAAAAACTCTCCTTTGAGCTCAAGTTGTTAAATTGCAGCGTATTTCATTGCACTACCGTTAAGATACTTTCAAAACCGCTCTCGCATTTCAGAGGTAAAGAGGTCTACTTGCTTTTAAGTGACACTAAACCTCATTTTTTGAGTGATTACAATCCTTTTTCATACAGAACAATTTGGATGCACACAAACCATAGACTCAGGGAAATCTCTTATTGCCAGCTGAAGCCTACTGGCTCCTTTAGTCCCAAAGAAAGCATGGTAAATATTCTTACCTTCAGAAAAGCCACGAGAACTCACAACCTTCATAAGTTTCCAAAAGCTCCAAAACAATCAAGCTTTAAGCTCTTGCTAATTCTAAAACAACAGAAAGAAGCAATGTTTACTTGTTTTGTTTGTTTGTTTGCCCCCAAACAACACCAAATAAACTTTAAATAAATAAAACCATGGAAGTGATACTATTATATTTTTGATCTTGGAGAGAAGGGGGAAAGGGTGCTGGGGGGCAGGAAATTGCTTCTTGGCAGGTAGCCTGGTTTTGTATTGATTACTTCTTGTTCTTCACATATGGTGAAAGGTTAATGCTGACTACACATGGAATAAAAAGGGAGACGCACAAAGGATATATCCAGAAGAGCCCATGCTTAGTGTTATTGTAAATAAGATCACTAGCAGTACCCCATAGGTGATTTGTGTTGTATTTCTGGTAGGGCATATTTATTTAGTATAGCACATATCAAAAGTGAAAAACAAGCCAAAATATAATAAACTTAAAACACAACCTAGGCAAAAGCATTTTACAGAATACAAGGAATTGTAAAGGCAGAATTTAAAGTGTAATCACAAATTTAGGACAGTTTCCTTCACACACTTCTTTCTTCAAAGTTTTCAATCCCTCTTATACCCTACTCTCTTTCTCCCTAAGTCTTCCCAGCTTTTTATTATTTTCCTAACATTTATTTTTTCCTTCCAATAAAAAGCTACTTTCCTGTTTTCTTATTTGGAGGGGGGGGGGGGGGGGGAAGCTTGCAGAGAATTACAAGACAGCCACACCTAATAAGCAACATCAGCATGAGGTTTAATACAACATACCTCATACCACTTCTGATTTCACTTCGTGCACTCTTTACTGTACTTATACCTTTAAAACGCACAAAACAGAGCAAGATCTACTCAAGTAAATAACATATCTGGAACAAATTTGCAAAACACACACCCAAACCCTTCATGCTTCTATCTGAAAAAACAAACAAACAAACAAACTGTGGAGTCGGCTTGAGAAGAAAATGACAGCATTTTCATTTGTAGCACAGAAAGACATCAAGAAATAAAACCAACAAAGATTACCTCAGGGACTCTAGCCCACACCTCCCTGTTTCACCTTTGCCTCCTTTTCCAAACTCAGTTAATCTCTCCTGTTGCTCTTTCCTGTTTTTGAGGTCCCTATCTGCTACCCACCTGTGTCTCCAGAGCAGCTTGGCTAATTTGGCTCTGATAGCTATTAGTCGCCAGGCAACACCCAGCACTAGCTCTTACAGGTCTCTCTATTTACTCATTTATCCCTTTCCTTTTTCTTTAGGAAGATCAGAAAGTCTGTATGCTACAGACATGAACAGAAGGAAGCACCTCAAACAAGAGTAGAGAGCACATCTCTCACACTTAATTTATATCACATTTATGAATATTCATAAGAGGAACACAGCAAAGAAGGAGAGCAGTATTTTGGAGAGAAGAAACAAATGCAGCTGCTGATTAGCTTTGTAAAGGCATGCATGAAAACTGTCATAGCTTTAGCTGATTGGAAAAAACTGTTTCATGTATCCCAAAAGCCATTCTTAAAGTGTTGTAATAAAAACCCTGGGATATCTCTGTTTGGCAGAACAAACCCTAAAATGACTAACATGTTGCAAAATGCCTTCCATGGTCACTGTAAAAGTGTCATGAGGACAAAAGACATAAGTGTTGCACAAGTAGACCCGTGGGATTAGAAAAACAAACATGAAGAAATCTAAATGCAATTCAGCTGACCTTCTAACAAGAACAGGAAAGGCTCAGCACTCCAGTGAACCTATCCACAAAGCAGAGCTGTCATACTTCATGTTAAAGATACCTCATTATTGCTTATGTAATGTGTAACAGCTACGCCAAGACTGCAGGAGGGAAAGAGACCCTAAATAAGTAAAGAAATAGAGGGGTACTTGAGAGAGGGCTTTGAAGCTTTGTTTGCATTCAATAGAACCAAGGAACGCCTTGAGTATGAAGGTTAATGGAAACCCCAGGACGATAGTCTACTCAGAAAGCCCATCCTATGGAGGGGGAGTTCTGCTGAATTGGCCCCTTGACTTTTATAGCTGAGGAAAAAAAACATAAGTGACAGCTCAAACAAGAGGTTGTTGTTAGAGTCACTGTAGGTTTCTTAAATCTTTGGGCTTGTTTTCTTTTCTGCATGTGTAACTGCTTCCAAGCTTGTAATCAAGAGCTTAATTCTTTGTTGCTATACAATCAATTTGCTTTCTTAAGTTTGCTTTCATATTTGAACTTGCCTGGTGTTGCATGACCTGGTAGTAGCTCCAGCAAGCTGAAATATGTTGTTTCTCCAGAAGACAGCAATATCCTAGAAAATAAGATCCCACAAAGAGCCTGTAGAATATCCCATCAAGAAGACTGGGTGCTCTGTAGACTGGTATTATCGAGATACAAAACCCAGGGAAAAGAAAAAAAAAAAAAAAGTATTTTCTGACATGTTATTCAGTGACCTGCAAGCAAGGGATGAGATGATTGCAGCATGAGGGATTATCAGATCTTGACATAAACAGAACCTAGAATCAGCCATTTGTAACCTTAATATGAAAATGTGACTTCAATCTAGCAACCTGAACAGGATTTCAAAGAATATTTGCATACTACCTAATCTCTGCCTTTTAAGGCTGTATTGGCAGTGCTTTATGTGTTGGTTTAAAGAGCTGCATGATTATTAGCAGCTGTACCTGATTATGTGCCAATTAATACTGGAGCTCCCACAGGGTTAATATGAAGGTTTTCCTTCCTTCTACTGTTCATTTTTATCTGACTTTGAGAAAAATCTATTAATCACCCTATGCATGTTCTCTCTGTGCTAATACAGTCATTTATTATGGTTATTAAGCTGCTATAAATCCCAGGGGACTTTGACAGATCTTACAATTTTAGATAGGGGATTTATAAGAAACATTTGGCAAATCATTTGTAGGAACTAAATGTCCTGTCTCCAAACCACGTGCCATTGGAAGTATCAGGCTTACCAATTTTGTCTCGTTCTCCAGTGCACTACTCAGGATATCCATCTGTTTTGCTGGTTTCCTGTAATGATGACCATCCTGATGGACACCAGTAAATACAGAGGAACATAAAGGTACAGACTGGGAACCAAACCCAAAGACCAGAGGGAGGTCTTTAAAGATGGATCAGTTCAGGAGGCCTGGGACTGTCCCCAGGTCACAAGAGGTGACCATGGTTGAGGTGCCCAGCAATGAAGGTGGTTCTGTATGCTGGTAGTCCTACGTAGGACTTTGGCAAGGAAATTGGAAACTATCTTTCCTAACTTCTCAGCTGCCATACAATTCCTTTGGTTCCTTATTACTTTATTTTATGTCCTTAAGTTGTCACAGAAGCTACACCCCCTGGGAGGGCAGGACAACCTGGCATGAGAACCAGGTAGCCACTGTGGAGATTCACTCTAGGGTGTGGAGGTGTTGCATTCAGGCAACACCTCCACACCCTAGCAGGTCTACGCTCCTGACTGTGCTTAGAGCAAAACAAAGCAAAACCTTTTGGCTGTGATTTTCAAAAGCTCCTAAAAAAGGCTTGTGATCGTGAGTTGTCATAGCTTAGGTCAGGTCTGCTGCTTTTGAAAACTCTCCTCCTTGGTCTTAATATAATTTGTGTATTAGTGTATAAACATCGTGGGAATTAACGCTCTCTTTCTCAGTGACTGCATGATACAAAGAGAAATATCAACTAAAATAACCACTGATTTAAAAGTATAAACTATTTATTCTCAGCCATCTGGCCTGTGATATGAACTTCTCTGTATCTAAAAGCATTTCATAGCTTTCTCCATTTCCTCACTATGTTTGGGTGACTTTGATGGCCTTTCTTTGCAAAGCTCTTTTACCTGGGCAGCAATCTGTTGCTCACATAAGCCATCAGTCTCCTGCAAGATGACCTTATACTATAGATAGTATAATTTATCATTCTTACTGATTACAGCACTATTTTATGAAACAGGATGGAAAGTTTTGTTGGCCTTTGAGGCCAATTTGCTACAGTGAGGTAATTTTCGTTTTTTTGCCACATTTATAACTTATCACTGATGTGATGACCCCTGAGTCAGTTTTGCAAAGTCATTGAGGAATTAACTGAGCAAAAGGGACAGCTGTGGTGGTTTTTTTTTTTTTTTTTTTTCCTTGATATTCTATTATTATTATTTTAATACTCCTTGTGTCACCTGAGTTCTGAAACCTGCCTCAGACTTGATTAGTTTCAGGCTGTCATCTCCTCTTGAGCCATCTGGCTGAGCCTAGCAAGACAAGACTGAAGGAAGTTGTTGGCCTTCCCTTCCACATAGTGGAGTTGTGAACATGGGCAACTACAAATCACCTGAGTCAAACTTTTGGTACTGCTGTAGTCATCAGAAAATTCCTTGTTGATTTTGGTAGAGCAACAATTTCTCTCTGGGCCAAGCAATTCCAACTACCACTGTCTGCAAATTCCTGCAAAAAGGCAGAGTACAGAATACATCCATCAGGATGTAATATGCAGCCTGCAGGAGGGTCCCTAGATGAGGCAGTTTTGAAGCATTTCCTTCATTATTTTGCAGTTTTATGTTCTTGCTTGCTATATCTGTGTAAGCATCACTAAAGATTCAATATGAGTAATATATAGAATAATTAAAGAGAGAATGGAAGAAATTAATTCCATATATAATAACTTTTTCTGACTGCTGTCCCACTCTGTTTACATTAAGAACTCAAGGCTTTTGGTTGCCATCACAAGGCAGAAGGAAAATACCTTACATAAAACATGTCTGGTCATTTTGTAAGAAAATTGAAGTTATGGGATTTGGTTTCACCATTAATATAAAGCTCCCCTTCAACTCTTGAAGCATAAATGAGCTTATTTTGTCGTTTCCTGAAGATCAGCCATATTGTCTGCAGCACACGTACAGAATGGATTTTCAGTTAATCCCTTGGATATTAATCTGTCTTGTGGATGAAGCCACGTTTCAGAATCCAAGCACAGAAACACAAGGATTGAAACTAATGCAGTCATAAAATGTTTTTCCTTGTGATGCATCCTTGGCCAGCTGTTTCCAAATGTGGCATTAGGCAGTGAAGCATAGAAAACACCCAGACTACACAATTAAAAAATGATAGTCTCTTTCTCTACAAATTAATATATTAGTGTTGTTAATAATCACCTGATATTAATGCAAAGCTGTACAGTCACCTGCCACAAACAATGGCTGTGTATAACTCCATCAGTTATTATATTACAAGGATGCCTGAAGCCTTATGCCGACTATAAGGAAGCAAGCATTTGATTTAATGCATTTAACTGAGTATAATATATATATAAATCATACCTTTAATTTAATATATGCATGTTCTTCACTGTAGCAATTACCTACACGTCCACAAAGAACAGTCTGGGCTTCAGGGTATCAGATGGTTTATTCAGGATTATTCTTATGGATGATAGCACTTCATGGTCTCCAAAACAGGCTTGTTCATTACGTTGCTTTCTGCTAACAGGATTTCTGCAAGATGCCCCTTTCGACTGTTTTGCGTGCGTGTGTCTCTGAACCATGAAAAATACCAGTAAACTGACACAAGACTGATTTCAGCATCACAGGTAAAGCAAATGTGCAAAAAGTGTATTTTGTTCTGACACAGCCCTTTAATCAAGGAAAACATTTGCTCAACCGTAAATGAATGGATGGGAACTGAGGGGAAAAAAGACCCATTCAGAATTATTAACCTGATTTTCAGCTTGATTTCTAACACAAAGTGAAAATAAATAGTCATCACCTCATATAAATCCATGGACTCAGTTATTCTCACTTAAGTAGGACTACAGAATTTTATACTAGCTGAAAATTATGCCAGTTATATTTATCTGAATCTGTAGCCTTCCAGAAATCTGTTCCAGATTTCTGAATAAGAATTCCCTGATATGCTGAGGGCATCCAAACGCTCCAGTTGGATCATCCACAGCAATTAGCAAACAGAACCTTTATAAGAATAGACCAAATCCTATTCTCAGCTCACTGTGTTGCTAACATGAGATGTCTGAAATTTTGAGCTACAGTGCAAAGTTTAGAAACTTAAGATTCTAATGGAATGATATTTTCCCCCTCTCTCTGATTTCAGGCTCAAAACCTTATGAAGTAAGACATTTGACTCCTTACTCTGTCATTGTCATGTAAGT